TGGCGGTAAAATCCCCGGATTTTTTTGTGTCCGTTTTGTACGCGGTTCTGCTAGTTTTTGCGACCCGGTCTGAACTTGTTGTTATTTAAGCGTTTTCCATTTTGAAAATTAATCCGATTATAATATAGGTGACCGAGAATCTATCGTAGTATATTTAGAAAGTACAATAAAACCATCTGTTGGAATATAATTACAAACTACCCATTTACCGCGGGCAACCTGATTTACACAAGAGCAATAAATCTACATTTTTTTTGTATCATCTGACTCACACCACTAGTTTATACTAGAAGCGACTAACGTTTATTCAAACTTTTGAATCCTATTTTGCTCACTCCTTCCAGTCTTATCACACAAAAAGCTTCCTATGATCAACGAGGGAAACAGGCTCAATCTTATCTGAAACCCCAAGTAGTCCGTAGCATTTAGAAGCGACCCGAACGCCCTTCTGGACTCGGCGCGGGCTGTCCCATGTCGTAATGTGGGTGATTGCAAGTGAAGGTTTGTGCGTTCGTTAGTGAACAAAAATTTTTACGCGTAGATCTTGGTCTGGTTTTAGCGCCAGTCTTCTGTTCAGTGCCAACGTCGGTGGGTAACGGAGCCCGAATATTTTGAGTGTATTTTGAGTGTATTTTTTTTTAGTTACGTTACTGTGGATTTCATCTGGGAAGACGTTGTGTAAGGAAACTGTCGGATTTTAACGTCTGGTTGATAAGGACACCGTTTGCATCCGCAGTTCTTGAGATCGTTTAGAGTAAGTAAATGGCAAAACGCAATTTGTGTTTACTAAGAAATGAGGATAAAGTATCTTTACGTGATCTTTCCAGTACTTGAATGTTCATTTAGTGGATATGTTTTACAAAGAACATAATCGCGTTCGTTATCTTCGCTGCATTTAAACCATATCAGACACTATTCTGTCCTCAAAAGTCCTCCATACATGTTCAGAACAGGTTTTATTTGTTTGCTTTCTTTAGTTATGTCACTGCGTTCTTAGGATGCATCCTCTCTGTAAGTTCGAATGTGTTTACATAAATAAAATTATGATTTAGGAAATTATGTAAAATGTGGAATCTGTGCATCATTTTTCCGGTTTATCTTGGAGGTGACGTTAAATTTTCTTTTATTTATTTATCTATTTATGATTGTGTAATTTTGTTGTGGGTTTAATGTTTTGTTCTCTAAGTTTTGTTTCAGCTTTCTCTATTACGTACGACTTGTTATTTTTCATGGATTTAAGCCTTTCCACAGGAGTGATATTTGCAGTATAAGCGAATAATACACATTATGGCAACGCTGTGAATATTCGCACGCATTCCTTGTCTGTTTCTGCCCCCGTTTCCTCCCTTTGGCTCGAAGGCGCAAACCCCAGTCAACCCGTTCTCTTCTTCAGGTTCAGCGCGATGGACGGCTTCTTCCTGGCTGTCTTCCTGGCCGTGTGCATCCTGGCGGCGGTGATCCTGCGGTGCATCTGCTACCGCTGCTGCCTCCAGTCCTGCTCGCAGAAGGCGCGCCAAAACAACGGCGAGATGATCCTCCCCCGCCACACCACGCCCACCATAACGCCCGCGCGCCCACAGCCGTATTCGCAGGTGGACGGCACCCAGCGGGCGGCAGTGCCTCCTCAGTCCCGCGCCGTCTTCACGATCTACACTTTCCCGCAGCACGAGTCCCCCGAGATGGATAGGAGCCCCCCGCGCACCCCGGGCCCCCCCAAGTACTCCTCCCTCCCCGCCGACGCCCCGCCCAAGTACGAGGACCTCTTCCCCCAGGCGGACTTCACCTTCCCCTCGAAGACTCCGTCGCCAAAGCTAGCTCCTCCCACTCGGGACTCCATCAACCTGCAGCCCCTGCGATCCTCCCCGCAGCAGAACACCCTCGTTCCTCTCGCGCCTCCGCCTGTGGTCGTCCCTCCGCCCCCTGCCTCGCACTTCCCTGCTCCCAGAGTGCCTTCCTCCGCTCCCTCTCCCAGCCTGCCTCCGTCCTCCCCGCCCTCCGCCGCCCATTCGTCCTCCTCCCTCTCCGATCCTTCGGCCGAAGGAGTCCCTCGAGAGGCGCCGCCGACGTACACACCAGTGCCCCCTGCCAGAGACGGGGAGTGAGGCGGACGGACCGACGGCCGACGGTGTTCTCAGCTTTCTTCAGGGCATTGAGTGATCCCTCTGCGGATTATTTCCCAATTCGTAACTGCCAAGGTTCATTAACGTTAGCGGGAAAAAAAATAATTTCTGGCCATGGACCAAAGTGCCTGTAATCAGGAACGTGATGTGAAAGTGCGAAGAACCTCGGAAACGCACGAAGTGAACTGAAAGTGTGCCAGGTTGTGCCACGACCCGTTCGAAGGATGGCACTGAATCTTCAAGGAGGAATCTCTGGACCTCAGACAAGGAATTCCTTTGTGTTAGAGGACGGGACTTTGACTGCTCAAGGGGACTCGATATGCTGTTACCATGTTGTCGTTACCAAGGTTTAATAATTCATAGGACTAATATGCTATTTCTGTTGATCGTAACCATACTGGGATATCAAGTAATAATTGGCCTTGAGCTTGGAAACAGGCCAAGCCTCATTGATTCTCATAGAATATCAAAAAGATTATTTTCCCGGCCCACCTTCTCTAAGACATTTTACAACACTACTTTTATTTATGTTCAGTTATCCCAAATCCCTTCCTCCTATCTACTTACCTATTTATCATTCTGTATCAATTATCCCCAAATTCAGCCTATCTTCTCATCTATTTATCATTCTGCCTTTCTATAAGGGAATAACGTTCTGTCTTCAATGCATATATGGATATTGAGACACACACAATACTTACTAACTTGAAATCTAAATCTTGAAACTTAAATTTCTGTAACGGAGAGCCGGTCACCAAGTCGGCTTGTTCAAAGGCTTTCAAGGTGCTAACTTCTTGTCCTTCAGTCGAGGTCGAAGGAAAAGTCGAATTCGAGTGTCTTCATAATTGCGAATACGGCAGCGTTGTGGCAATGACGTTCTTCCAGTGATATACAGTTATATTCTTCCAGGTAGACAGACGTTTGAAAATCTACCTCCTGTTAGACAATTATTTTTGCTGTCTTTCTTTATGTATGTACGTATAATATATATATATATATATATATATATATATATATATATATATATATATATATATATATATAATATATATATACACACACACACACACACACACACACACACACACACACACACACACACACACACACACACACACACACACACACACACACACACACACACACACACACACACACACATATATATATATATATATTATATATATATATATATATATACAATATAACACACACATATATACAGTATATTTTTTTCTTACATACACATAAGATAGCATTTCAGGGTCTTGTGACATCGAATTTTTAATTAGCATATATATTTTAGAAAGATATTTCTACCAACAGTTTCTTCCATTAGAAACAGTCGGTTCTGAAGGAGAAAAAGCTTCACTAAATACGTAGAGATCCTTTGTTCCTGTGACGAAGAGGTATTCAGATATTTTTTTCTAGACTTTTAGTTAAAAGATGGTTGATAACCTTTTGGTGTCTTTATGTACTTTTTTGATAAATTATTCCCAGTACGTAGTTAGTAATTAATAGAAAAAAGGACATTAGTATTAGTAACAGTAATGTCACTGTAAATGTATCAAAAATTCCCATTATGGGCAGTGTCTTCCAGTATGAATGTTACAAATAATACGTCTTGTCATAATTTGTACTGCATAATGTAAATAAATGTGTAAATATGTAAAACTCCGTAAGGGATGAATGTAAACTCGAACGCCAAACGTGACTTAAAATATTATTTAAAGTACTAGACAATAGACTTTAAATATATATTTTTTTTCGTACAATCCAAGGTGCTCTTTTGTACATACCGCGTTTGTATCAGCGATGTAAGTTTTGTAAATATACTTGTGAATAGATTATGTTTGTTTGTTGTTCATTCCTCGCTATATTTCAGCATTCACAAATCTGATCTTAATATACCTAAAGGTGTTATTATTGTTAAGAACAGTATGATGATAATAATGATTATAAAACCTTCATTCATAATTACGATCAACAGTGGTAATAATAGTAACACACACATACACACACACACACACATGCACACGCACGCACACACACCACACACACACACACACACACACACACACACACACACACACACACACACACACACACACACACACACACACACACACACACACACATGTATATTGTTAACAATAAATCGAATTAAAGCAAATCTGAGGATAATAATAATAATAAGCACTGAGTTTAATTGCAGTGAATATGATGACAATGAACATGGTCATAATGAGAGCAAAAATAATCATGATCATGATAATGACTGTGAAGACGACGATAATGATGATGATAATAGAACAGAAGAACAATGATGATGATAATAACATATAATGATAGTGATAGTAGTAATAATACTGATATTGATAGCAATAACAATAATAATATTATAAATAATAATAAAAGTGATAGTAATTATTAAAATAATAGTGACGAAAACGAAAAAATAAAAATCCAAATAACAGTAATACAAATAATAATAATAATAATGATAAAAAAATCATGATGTTAATGATAAAAGAAAATAATGATGATGATGATGATAAGGAGGAGGAGGAGGAGGGGGACGAAGATGAAAACAAATATTAATAAAGATGATAATTAGTACAGTTCCTAATGCTACTGCTATTCGCAATAAAAATAACAATACTAATAACTGAGAATCATGAATCAAAATAGATGGCTAAAAACTAAACAGCAAAATACAGGAAAGAAGATTCATTGACAGCTGTTAAAAAGGTCAGTGAAGTCGTGTCGATCAAAACAAATGAAATGGAGAGAGCGCACGGGACAGGAAGGTTCGTACGCGTATCTCTGTCTTTCTGTCTCTCTATGTCTCTCTCTTCTTTCTTCTTCTCTCTCTCTTTCTCTCTCTCTTTTTTTTCTTTCTCTTTCTCTCTCTTCTCTCTCCTCTTTCTTTCCTCTCTCTCTCTCTCTTTCTTTCTTTCTCTCTCCTTTTGTTTCTTTCTTCTTTTCTCACTCTTTTCTGTTTCTTTCATTCTCTCTCTTCTCTCCTTTTCTTTATCTCTCTCTCTCTCTCTCTCTCTCTCTCTCTCTCTCTCTCTCTCTCTCTCTCTCTCTCTCTCTCTCTCTTCTCTCTCACTCACTCACTCACTCACTCTCTCTCTCTCTCTCTCTCTCTCTCTCTCTCTCTCTCTCTCTCTCTCTCTCTCTCTTTATTCTCTCTCTCTCTCTCTCTCTCTCTCTTCTTCTCTCTCCTCTCTCTCTCTCTCTCTCTCTCTCTCTCTCTCTCTCTCCTCTCTCTCTCTCTCTCTCTCTCTCTCTCTCTCTCTCCCTCCCTCCAAAATATGTGTCTATAAATAGCATACACATATACGGCATAAATACAAATAGTAGGCACAGAAAAATAAGTAAATAAATACATAATGATATTTATTGACAACAAACAATACAAGGTATATCCAAACGTATCATATGTCATGGTCCAAAAGGTATATCTGAAATGGTAAATTTTTTTTTTATTATTATTATTTTTTTCGATTTTTTGAGGGCTAGAATTGTCAAAGGGATTGTCTTTTAATTTTGCCTACCAGAGATCTCGAATATAAAAAAAAAAAACAGGAAAATTTATCTTATCGGTCTCTGAATATGAATCAAACCAGATCTCAAATGTCAATAATTTTGAAAATTTATTTATCAGTTTTTGAATTATAAACCAAAATGTGGAGACTAATATTGCGACTAATATTCCACGTTTATTTAAGCTTGTTAATGTTTTTCGCCCAAATCATCAAATTGTGTTGTATGTTTGTAAGTTATGATATTGTATTACTTACGATAAAATGCAATTAATGGTAATAAGATTTAACGAGTGTATCGTTTTTTATTTACATAAAATAAGCATGTTTTGTCATTTGAATTAGATTTTTTTTATTTAAGGAAATACGTCATAAGGGACATTTATTTCTTCCAGAGATTGTAAGATTTACTTGATCTTTTCAGATCTTGAAACTTTCTGCCCTCAGGATAATATTTTGGATGGCGACTGTACAAAAGTTTTCGTTCAAATGCCTTTAATCCCTGCTGTTGTAGTTGAAGAAGTACTTAAATGATGATAATACACTAACTATTATAAACCGTGTTCATGGTCATAATCGAGACTAGGCATCCTTAATCAAAAAGGTCAATAAAAGGTCATATCGCGGAAATAGAAACGCCACGATCAACCTTGTACTGAGACCCATAACCCGTCAAAATCGCGTATTTCTGTGCTATGCGCTAATATTCGTGTCTTTTGTTCAATTTTCTCCATTATTCATGTCAGCAGAAACAAAACGACGAGGTGAATGCACTTGAAACAATAAATGAAAAAGAAGAAAAAATCGTAACGAAAAATGCGACCAGCAAAGCTCCACTTCACCTCCACTTGAAAAAAAAAGCCAGAGTTGGAAGCAGTAGGACAAAGACCAGCAACAGGCATTTAAGGAACTGAAAAGGTATCAGTTCTAAGTCATTTTCGACCTTAGAAACAAACGTCTCCTGTACACACCTCGCCCCATGGATGTGCAAAACATATAAACATGAAATCCTGTTGTTCTATTTGTCTATTTGCTGCTGCCGACCTCTGCTCTCTCGTGGCCGTCAACTTTGCATACAGTAAGGAATCTATGACATAATGTTCATGTAATCTTCTGTCGGATACGTAGAAATATACAGATCGAATCAACAGATCATTCATTGTGTTCATCTGACTTATATGACCGTCGATTAAATTAACATATTGCCAAACAAATAAATAGACAAAGTAAAATAAAGGATTATTGTTTTTATGTTTCTCCCAATATATCTAACAAAGGGTCTCGTAGAAATACAGACTCGATGAGTTGCAAAGAGTATAGAGAGAAGTGTGAATCTCCCTACATAGATGACCGTGGTGATTGAAAATAAGAAAATGAAACGTAGGTCTTCTATTCCATCATCATTTCTTCGATGAAAATCACATATTTTGATGGCATTCTAAGGAACATGATGTCTAAATGAATGTAATAATGTGCATAGACATTATCTTTTCGCGTCTAGTTTATCGCCTGGCTGACATGTATTATTCTTTGTCACTGTTTCACATACCCGGCGGCTTCACCAGTGGTTAGGGCCTCATGTTGGAGAGGATCCAGGGCAGGTGGTGGTGGACGTTCGTGAACAGCGTCTGCGTGTTCGGGACGCCGCACGCCCTGGGCCCCTTGCTGGTGATGCCCAAGACGTACCACCTCGTCCTCGAGCGGTTGTCGATCATAAGAGGGCCCCCCGAGTCCCCCTTGCACGTGCCTGGGCCCTCGCCGCCCGCACAAAGGGTGGACGAAGGGTCAGGGTACTTCTGCTGGAGGGCATCGCAAAAGGGCGTCCGCAA